CCGCACCATCGGGATTTCGAGAAGCTCACCCTAGAGCTGGAAGAATGTTGCCCTCGCATCACAAGGTGGACGTAGGATGACCACATCGATTTGGGATATGCCGCGCCGGCTGCTCCGCCACAGTCCATGCCCAACTAGTTGGAGACAAGCTTCAAGGAATCGGACGACGCAGAGGAGGTAGCTCAATCCCTCACCTGCATAACCTCCCGACCGAGCCCCGCACCCTTGACGACGCCTCCAGCAAGGTCACGACGCGCAAGGCGCCGCCGCCGCCAAATCCGCCGAGGATAAAGGTTTTCACCCGGGCAGGGGGATCGGGGTGGAGAGCAGGGGACCTCGGCTGCGCCCCCATGGAGGAAAGCAGCGCCCTTGGGCGTTGCCGCCGCCGGGCCGGCCGGACCGGCCAAGCTTTCCCCTGGTTCCCTAGCTGGCCACCAACACGCAGCAACGCCGGAGCCAGAAACGCTAGCCCACACCGGAGGCGAGAGAGAGGCAGCAGGGAATAGGGATTTCGCACCTCCAGATCTGACGAAGAAAGCTTCACGCCGTGGCCGGATTCCACCAGCCACCTGCCGCCCGCGCGGCCGGGCACGCTGGCCAGCACCCCCTGCGAACGCCGCCCACCGCCCGACGACGTCGCCTCTCCGGCAAGGGCCGCCGCCCCAGGAACCACGGGCCTCCAAGAGGGGGAGGAGCGCCGAGATCCCCGCCGCCACCTTCACCGGCGTCCGCGCGGGCTTCCCGGCGGCCGTCTCTAGTAGCGGCGAGGAGGAGGAAGGGGGTGGAGGGGGCTGGCGGCGGCGGCGGAACCCTAGTCGCCCCCCGAGTCGCCCAAGGGGACGACGCGAGGGCCGCGAGGATCAATCGGTACTTTCTTCAAAAATTTGTTGTGAAAGTTGCCATGTTCACTGGAAAAATTGCTATGCTTTAGACAATACAATTGCTGTGAAAAATGTTTGTTTTGCCATCATTTCCCAGCCAGCGGTTCACTGAATAACATTACCCTAAAATAAACATGGTTGTTATCTGTTAGCAACCTCCCTGTATATACGTATGTAACTCATGGATGATGGCAAAAACAAACAGTAAATTAGATATAATGATGATGATGATGATGATGACGAAATGTGAAGTTAGAAGATGACAACATGTGTAATTAGGATTTGATTGCCACACACGGCCCGAGATGGGATCTATCCATGCCCATGGATGGATCGATGGAGGGAGTACGTAGTATCTAGCTGACGACGACACACGTGACAAGGACATGTGGATGGATTGGGTGGATACCAAATGGACGGACTTGAATTGTCCGTCTTAAGAATTTTGGTTGTACCGTCGTGGTACTTGTAGTACTAGTGGTAAATTTAAGAAATACCGTCATCCCCGCCATAGAAAAGGAAGAAAAAGAAGCAGCAACACAAATCGAAGTAGACAACGATGTGGATCTTCCCTCCTTCCTATGATACTCTTTGTATGATGGAGTTGGGTTGGGTTGGAAGCACTGCACTGTACTGCAACGGTGGGCCGGTGTGCCAAGTGTGTTTTTTTCTTTATTTTTATGCAAACTTGATCCCCTGCTTATATTCCAAGATTAGTGAGGGAAACACCCACAAGATAATACATCAGGATAAGACAACTGGCATCTAAGAAGAAAAAAACCGGGCCTAAGCGTGCGTGCATGATGACTGGCTCTAAATTAATACATTTCAACTTTGTTCACATGGTGTGAACCGCTAGGGAATTGTGTGGGTGGTGCACATCCTCAAGTTAAATTGTATGCCTAGGCGTGCATGGAAGATGGCTGGCTCTAAATTAATACTTCCTCCATCGGGAATTACTTGTCGCATAAATAGATGTATCTAGACATATTTTAGTTGTAGATACATCCATTTTTATCCACTTTTTAGACAAGTAATTTGAAACGGAGGGAGTACTTGTCAAATTTGTTCCCATGGTGCAGCCAGCTAGAGAATCATGTAGGTGGTGCACATTTTTAAGTGAAAATGTATATCTGGGTATGCGTGTATGATGAATTTCTCTAATTAATACATGCTAGCTATGTTCACATTTGTGCGGCCAGCTAGGGAATCATGTTGGTAATGCACATTTTTCAGCTGAATTGTATGCCTGCTTGAGTGCATGATGACTCACTTTGAATTAGTACATGTCAATTTTGTTCGCATGGTGGGGTGCTAGGGAATCGCGTGGGCGGTGCATTTTCTCAAGGTAAATTGCATGTCTAGGCATGCGTGCATGATGACTGACTCTAAATTAATACTACCTCCGTCCGGGTTTTTAGGTCCCCTCGGTGCCGCACGCTCGTACCACATTTACAGGGCCGCTCTCTCGGGCGCCATGCAAAAAGTGAAGGCGCTGCGTCTTCCCAAAGCGCAATCAATTCAAAGCTGCTGGCGCCATTTTTTCTCTGGCCGAGCTTTGATCGATCCATGGCATCGTGAATTGACCAATGGATGGTTGATCGATCCGTGGCATGATGAATTGTCCAATGGATGCTAGCGAGGGAGCAAGCTGATTGGGTCACGGCGCCCACGCCGGATCATGCAAGCGAGAGTACTGCATGCACGCGTGCAAGGAAAAAGCGAAGCGTTGCATGCATGCAGTAATAACTGCGCGAAGCTCGTTGGCCGTCGCTCTGCCACAATATCTGCTGCTGCTGCAGCAGATCCTGCCTTGGTCCGTGCGTTCCGGTCGGGGGGACTTAAAAACCCGGACGGAGGTAGTATATCTTAACTTCACATGATCCGGGCAGCTTGAGAATTGTGTGGGTGAAGCACATTCTCAAGCTTAAATTTTATGTATGCCTAGCGGTGAGTGCATGATGACTGACTCTAAATTAATACTCCCTCCGTCCTAAAATTCTTATCTTAGATTTGTTTAAATACGGATGTATTTAGTTACGTTTTAGTGTTAGATATATTCATATCTAGACAAATGTAAGATGAGAATTTTGAGACGGAGGAAGTGTATTTTAACTTCACATGATGCGGGCAGCTTGAGAATCGTGTGGGTGAAGCATATTCTCAAGCTTAGATTTTATGTATGCCTAGCCGTGTCTGAACAATGACTTAATACATGTCAATTTTGTTCACAGGATGTAGCCATATAAGAAATCATTTGGGTGGTGTATATTCTCGAACTAAATTGTATGCCTAGCCGTGTGTGCACGATGGCTGACTCTAAACTAATACTAGATTTCAGCTTTGTTCACATGCTATGGCTAGTTAGGGAGTTGTGTGGTTGGTGAACTTTCTAAAACTAAATTGTATGCCTAGACATGCATCACCCACACAATTTCCTAACTGGCCGTATCAGGAGAAAGCAGCGATGAAGATGGAAGAAAGGTATAGAAAATGGTACTTCATATTTTAGTGATCTAAACGCTTTTATATTTCTTTATGGATAGAGTATAAGATTAAATCTCTGGTGTATCTCTTTACATGTAGTATTTAGTTAGTTAATTACTCCTGGTAGCTAATAATAAGTGGTTACTCTTTGGACTTTGGTGGTGTATGTATCCAAAGAGTAGGAATGGTAGCTGAGATTCAGATCTGACAGCCATCACTTACTCACTCACTCACTGTATTAGACTCCCACTCTGCTCTACTCCACCAGTAGGAGTATTTCATCACTCACTCACTGTATATGTCTCTTCCTTGTCGATCTTCTTCTCTGCAATGAAAAACAATTCAATCCATGTCTAATTGTCGCCCGGACGAAACTGGCTGTCGGTTCCTTGATAAAATTAATAAACCCGACTGTTAGCAGCCTTTGTATAAGTGGTCGTTTGATGATGTTATTTTTTAATTATATTTAGGGTGCTTTGTGATTTTGGTGAGCTTTTAAAATAAATAAGAGTCATTTTCACAAAAAGGAGAATCATATGATGATGACGAAACACAACATTAGAAGATGACGTAGAGCGGCATGTGTAATTCGGATTTGATCGCCACACACACAGCCATGGAGGGAGAAGTATCCAGCCGGCGACGACGCTCGAGACAAGGACATGGATTGGAAGATACCAAATGGACGGACGGACTTCAATTGTCTGTCTGTACATGGTGGATGGGTGGATGTTAGCTAGGAGTACAATATTTTCAGTACGTGGTGGTACAAGTAGTAGTAGTAGTAGTAGTAGTAGTAGTAGTAGTGGTAAAATTAAGAAATGCCACCAGCCACAACATAAAAGTAATTAAAGGCAGCGCAAATCAAACCTTCATATGATGGACCTGGGTTGGCATGGGGCACTGCACTGCAATGGTGGTTTGATTTTTCAACCTAAAACGTCATCCTTTGCAGTGAAAAGATGATAGAATGGTTGCCTCATTTCTTTTGCAGTGAAAAGAGATGGTAAAACTGAATTAAGAAATGCCACCACCACCACCACCATAGAAAGAGATCTCTTCGCTTTGTGCTTGACTTGTTGCGTTGTGGCACGTGTTTGCTTAGCTAGTTACCGGGGACA